TTATACCCACTTTTTTTATATACATACTTATTTTTATTTTAGTTTGTTTTTATGATGTGCTTACATCACTGCATTGGGTTAGGGGTGTACTGAGCGCTCGCAAACAAGTTTAACCTCGCCACATTATATATATGCCTGTTGGGAGCCTGTAAATCAGTGGTTGTCGTTGTTCGCTGTCTATCATATTTTTATTTCGTTTACTGTTTTGTACATAAATCAGACCGTTTGTTTTCTAGTTTGAATTGTTTTTCATATTGTCATTTTATAGCTTACTATACGGTGTGAGTTTTTTTTTTTCATTGTTGAAGGCCGCACTGTTACCTATAGTTGCTTACGTCTACGTAATTTGGTCTCTGGTATATATTTGTCTCATTGTCAATCATACCACATATATATATATTTCTGCTGTTACATATATGCCTACAGCTCAAAATAGAAAAAAAAAGAATAAACGCATGCCCATTTAGAAATTACTCAATTGAAATACAGTTGATACAAGCCCCCACAAAATACCATTTAAGGTTTGCATCCCAAATTTTTTTTAAGATTTTGACATTCCTCCCAGAATATGTTGGAAAGCCCTTTATAGGTCTTTTAAAGAACTTTAAATGCGAAACATATAGCTTTTTCTGAGTTCAATGAATTTTCTGGGTAAACTTTCATCAAGAACAATCAGAACAAAAAGATTCACATACCTTGTATATGTTCTAAAAGAGAGGCGAAAGATACCAAGGGGACATTCAAACTCATTAGTCGAAAACAAACTGGCAACGCCATGGCAAAAAACGAAAATCACCAAAAGACACACATCAATACACAAAACACAACATAGAAAATTAAAGACTGAGCAACACGAACCCCACCAACCGGGGGCTTCATGTGCTCCGGAAGGGTAAGCAAATCCGGCTGAAATTTTAGCACCCGTCGTGATGCTCGTGTATGTGCAAACCCGGTGAATGTCTGATTCAGTAGGTCACTTTCGAGGTAAAGAGGACGGAATTGTGGTTACGACAGTTGGAACATATCCATCGTCATTTGAGAAATGGATATACCATAATAGTCAACCAACTCGTGATGGCGTTCAGAAAATTTTCGAAGGGATGATTTCAGCTTCTCCAATTTGAACTCTTGGTTCAATAGTTTCATTGTAAGTAGCAACCCTCTAACAAGGAAATCATCATAGGAAATGCAAGCTCTGAAATATAGTATTTCAGAGCTTGCATTTCCTATGATTAGGAGATATACACTACAAGTGCATGCGCTGCCGGAATATTGCTTCATAGAATTGGAACTCTTGGTTCAATAGTTTCCTTGTAAGCAGCAACCCTCTATCAAGGAAATCATCATAGGAAATGCAAGCTCTGAAATATAGTATCAATTGGGAGATATACATTCAAAGGTGCTCGTTTCATAATTCTTATGGTGATAAAACAAAATTTAATTGAAAGTAATTGATATTTGCTTTTTTCCTTTTTTTTCTCCATCTTTATCATATCAATAAATATCATTAATTTTAACTGTAAATAGGTATTATACAATACTTACATTGATTTTCTTAGTGCTATGAAGTATAATATTCACCTAATGGTGGCACCCATATGTAATAGGATTTGGAATTGAAGAGATGTCAGAATAATACACGATGACTAATTCGAAGGCTGAGTTTATTTCTGTGGTAAGGTTTTGCTTTTACTATAGAAACCATTTCGCATAATAAAAAAGCAGAATTCGTAATCACTTAGATTCGTAGTAATAGTAAAAAAAAAAATGCGTTACATACGAAATTTTTTATCAGAGACTTTAGCTTTATTTTTAAGATAAATACTTATGTATTACTAATGTGTCACAACATTCATGATCATTGCTATATTCAGTTAACATAATGAACATAGAGTGCAAGTTGTTTCTTTACGCTCTGCCTTCATAAATGAGTCTTGCAAATAAAACTGAATGTTCATGCAAAATAACGTTGGTGTGACAGCCTATTTTCCGATTACCGACGTTTGACTCCGAGGTATATAATTTTTCGACAGGTTACCTACTCTTTGGTAAAACATTTTGGAACTCGGATAAGAAAGAGCAACTAAAAGAAGTAAAATCATGGTTACAATTGGTGTAATTTGAGTGAAAATTTAACTGTTTTCCGACGATTCAGTCATGACAGATAATCTTCCCCTAAATTGCCGGTAATACGAAAATAGTCTATTTAATCATTCGACAATAAATGGTTTCAAGTTTTGTCACTGAATATCCTTATTTACAAGATTATTTCAATATGTTCGTTTTAATTATTTCTTAAATAATGTCTTTACTTCAAGTTATTCATGAAAATTTCAGATAAGTACGACCAATTCTAACGAGAATAGGTAATGTCCTTGTTTGATATGTAATGCACAACTTTTGATTTCTCTCTTGTTTATAAGGATTTTTTTTTCTGTGAACGCAAAAATGTTTTCATTGTCCATACTCGGGGAAACACATATTTCATAAGGACACATTTAACAGCCGAGGCTTCAAAGTTTACTTTAAAATATTTTCTTTGTTTTTAATTTTAGTTTCGATCCAGAATGTCCGATGTATTAAAACCAGAATTTGATGATTTTGAACTTCAAAAATGGCTGCAGGGTGAGGCCTTTATATCGTTTGTAGAAACAAATATTCTTTTGTCAGATTCTAAGGTGACAAAATTGAGAAATTCCGTTGCAAAGTAAAAGTCGTCTTTTTTTTTATACATTGCTCTAATTTCTGAACTTGGTATAGCTGTAAATGTTTGCGTGTTTTGATTATAAAAGTGTGAAATAGTTTAGTTAAGCTTCGGTTATCCCAAGATGTATTTTGGTATCGAACTGCAGTGACTAGACATTATTTATCGCAATAAGCGCAATAATATTGGAAGTGTTCGATGTAATTTGGCAATATAACTAGACATTTGCAGAAAAGTGGGATTTAAATATCTCAGTAGCTTTTAATATATTATCTCCTTTAACTGTCCTAAGTCATGAACCTCGTCAGTGATTGTCTGTTGTCATATTTTAATTGTTTGCTTCTTTGTTTGTTGTGATTTTGTTGGTTTTGGTAATAATGACAAGTATTTAAAAGTTTCTATTTTGTATTAAATACTTTTCTAGAATGGAAGTGATTTAGAGCTTGACACATTGTACTGACAGCTGTCTATTGTTAATGACTGTATATTGACCTATATGTGTCTTTCTTGTCTGTTGTGTTGTTTGGTTGCTGTCCCATGACATATACCCCATATCTCATTTTACTCCTATGTTCCTCACAAGAAAATAGCTGGATGTTAAGCCATCTATTTTGTTTTGTTTGAAGAAATGGCTGTGCTTATAGATGAAAGGTGGTGTCGGTAAGACGCAAATAAGATAGCATGACAACAACAGAACAAAATCAAAATACATCTTAATCTTTAACAAAAGACAAATAATGTTAACCTACTGTCTTTATAATTTCTATATGAAATCTGAGACGTTTCATCAAATACGCGTATATCGAACCAGTTGAAACTAACAATCCATAACGAGGAGACAACGATTCTCATCAAGGATCAAACGTATTTTAGCAATAGGAAAGGAAAAATCTCCCGTTTGTCATAAATTTTGGTATAAAGATTAACATGAACAGTTTAACTTTGCATTTATAAGTTAACTATCAAGCCTTTTCAGTGGTTTTCTGGGTTGCGATATTTCTCTGTTCAAATTTCATTATTCGAGACAACGTACACGTGAAATTCTCGCGTTTTTTTATTAGAGTGATTGAACTAAACTTACATACCGACAAGTTGCATCAGATAAGATGTCTAGTAGTCCAATTCTCAAGCAGGTCTCATAAAAAGACTAGATAGTTTAGCATAACGAGTTCCAGTCCTCCATGAAACGGACATACCCCGAAAAAGACTAGATTTCTTACACTGGGATGATGTACATTTAACGGTCTTGTACTTTTTGCCGTATTAAATTCAGAATTTCCTAGTTTTTGTCTGTATCAATTGACTGACCAGTACAGACTCAAATGTAAATTGTTGAAAGTGAGCCCATTATGTACTTAAGATTGTTTTTCTCTATATAATAACTGAGAATAGAATGGCTGAAAGGTGTGTCTTTTATCCCTAGCGTGATTGTCGATATGTACTTATTAAGATGAAAGATACCGACATAACATGTCAGGAAGAAAATTAACAGTAATTGATTAAGTGTCTGATTTATAGGTTATAATCATACTACTATATATATAGATACAAGTGAGTTTCGTACAATACGGAAATTTGCCTCGTTTTACATTTGTCATCGAAGCCTTGAAACACTTCTTTTATAATTGAGTATCTAGACTTATGAAGTATATGTCTCCCAACAGATACGATATTCCATGACTTGCATTTTCTGTCTCAATTTCATTTACAGAGTGTTGTTGCTACGTGTAAGAAAGCTATGAAAATTGTTACGTTGTAAGTTATCTCGTTGAAAGTGTTACAAATGCCATCATAATTTGATTGACCGTTTGGAATTTCTTTGTATCAGATGACAATGGTTACATTCCACTTCTAGTCACAATACCCTCCTCTTTTATTCGTTAATGACATTACCAAAACACGTCTAATCACCAGTTTTTTACTTAGCAAGCCAAACACGATTCGAATGGCACAAGCGGAGCAGAAACGGCTTAACATACCGGAGCACAGGCGTTTATCCTCGCTTTTTGGTTTGAGTTCGTGGCAATACAATATTTGGTTTTCTGAGCAGTGTAATTCTGGACCTTTGTTTGTCCTTCTATCTTTTTTGTTTTGGCTATGATGATTTCTGTTTTCTTTTTACTTATGTTTTTAATGTTCTTTTGGTATCTTTTCACTCATTTTTGTTTAATCAAAACTCATTTCAATATTTTATTACTTCAATAGGCAGTTTTTTTTTGAACAGCGTGAAATTCTTATTGCGTTTAAACGAACAGATAAATAGGTTATGTTTTTATTTATTTTATTTAGCTAGGTGTTATAATGTAGACGAGGCTGAGAAAATGCTTCGAAATGTAAGTAAATAGTATGTTTATTTTTCTTTAATCTTCTCACAAGGAGGACTATGAGATACAATTTTGAATTTTCGTTACCTCCTCAAAATAACGTATATTCATAAATGTAATAGGCTAAGTTATTAAGATATAAAACACCAGCCATTTCTGACTTATATAATCTAATAAATGTCGTAAAAGGCACGTATAACATTTTCGATCATGACTATTAATGCGAAAAAAACTATCCTTTACTTTCACAGGGATTGGTCGTTAAACATTACTACTGATAGATTTCTGAATGAACTCTGCTTATGCGAGGGTCTGGATGGGTTTACACAATAGAGAATAATGGTCACAAAAATAATGAATAGAGAAAAATAAGCAACAAAAAATAAAGAATATAGGATATTGGGGTGAAAAAGTATAAAAATGACTGTGGGAAGTAAAAGAATTAAGTAATGTAACACTATTTACAAACACAAAGGGACGTACAGAACTAGGAAATCATAGAATTACAGATAAATCTAATTATCAAATAATTTTTATGAGAATTTTACAGAATAAGCGTTATTAATAAAGATAAAGAGAATATGCCCCAAAAAATAAAAGAGTACAGAAATGAAGGACTTCCAATACCCATCCAGGCCCTCTTATAACACTGTCTGTGTAAGATACCAATACGATGGGCATTACAGTCGAGTTATTTTTTTTTTGTCTCGTAAGATTGTATTTTAAATTGTTTTTTTTTTTTTTTTTAATTAAAGATTATACCAGATTCATTACTGTTATACATATATATTCAATTTACAAAACACAGATTCACCCAACCATTGTTTTAGTCAATAAAAATACAGAAAATTGAATATTTTTCACTTGGGAATTTGTCACTTTGCACCTTTATTTTTCAGTGACTGGAAATCTAAATGATGTATATGATTATATAAGAAATGATTTGTTTCACATAATGCTTCACTCGTTTCCAAGGTGATAATTTCATAATTTCCTTAAAAGATCAATAATTACGTTTCTACAGAGCATGGCGTACAAGGAAAAGAATCATGTTAAGGATCTTATTAGAGATTACAAGCCACCTGAGGTAAATATCAATTTTTGGTAACATTTTAAAAGTCTCCCCAGCTAACAATTTATTTCTATTTGTAAAAATATCGAGACTGTACATACAGGTAGTTGATACATTGTAGGAAAATGTAATTGCATGTTCATGGAGTATTTGATTCGTGTCGGTGAACGATATACGTAAACTCGAAACTATAATCCTTTATATATAGACACTTTTATATACATAGACAATGAACGGGGGCGGGGTGAGAGAAGCTGAATAACACATGCATCTTTACACTAAGGGATTGAAAAAAAAACAAAACCATAATAAAATCGAAAAATTGGAACTTCGCACGGGTACAAAAATTCAAACTGGAATATATATTATCATAAATTTGTAATTGTTTTACATAATTGACGATAAGAGGTAAACAGAAATCTAAACATATTTTCGAACGTGTTTTGTTGTCATATGACTAACTAATATAAAAAAAAAAAATAATTGAACAATAATTTTCGTCTCGGTCATTTGATAATGTTTTTGTTTTCGTAGCTCTTAAACATGATTTGATTACATATTAATGGTTTGCATTATCATATTATCATCTGCCTAACTTGAAGACCTATATGTTAATGCCATAGATAATGCATTTTGTAAGGTTTTCCTTGTCGTATATACGACAAGACAAGCCTTAAAATATGCATTATCTGACTCATATTTCGTAAAAAATATAATTTTCTACCACAATTTTCAGGAAATGGTACTCATTTTACCTATCCCGTTCAAATAGGATACTTTTTCCTTATGTGTTTAGGTAAACCCACGTTCAGACACTCAATTAGTACTGTGTAAAATAAAACTCGCTTATCTAGATTAGAATAATATCCAATGATGGATATTTTTTATTGCAGACAGTTCTATTTCCTTAGTATAGAAATAACAAAATGTGCTGTGATTGCCATGAGACAACTATACACCAGAGACCAAATGACGTAGATGTTAGCAACTATAATAGGTAACCTTTCGGTCGTCATTGATGTGAAAAAGACAAACCATGTAGTGCACTATAAAGGGACCCGACATGTCAAAATATGAAACAATTCAAACGAAAAAATCTAAAGGCCTGATTTAAGACAAAACAATAAACAGATAAATTTACAAATTAAAATCTTGTCGCTCTACGTCTAGTTAGTATTAATAGGCTTAGTATTTTTAGTGGCAACGATCTATGAAACAAAAATGCAAATGATGGGTAAAAATAGTTATAAAGTCATTTAAGGTGGTACCCAACACCTTGACTAATATTTATTCATTGGTTATATAGCAGTTTGACAAACACTAATTTTTATCATTGAGGAGCTTAATATTTCCTTAACAGTACAACGTCATTAAAACGTTTAGCTGATTTTTACAGAGTTATCTCCCTGTAGTGTTAGGTATTACCTTAACGGCAATAATTTTTGGCTTGTTTATTATTTGAGCTGTTAACAGTTTCAATCTATGTTAGTTTTAAGATAATGTAAACAACTAAAGAAATTGTCACCTTTGGATAATAACAGATTTCAGGAGATAATTAATGGTTTCTATACCTGACTGAAACCATGTATTTGTGTCTCAACTCACGAGAGACATGATTCTTTCGCAATCTCAAAATAAAATAATTTATTTAAAAGAATATGACAATGAAATGTCAATTTATTCTTGGTGCCCCCTGAAATATGTTTGTGCGTATAACTTTATCATTAAAAACCGTGAAATGTAGAGAAATAATGAGTTTCACATCAGTATTGAAAATTCGAATAATCGTTAAACGGTACCAAGAGAATTGCACCAGATGTGCATTTCGACAATTAATCCCTTCGGTGATGCTCGAGGCCAACATATTTCAAAATACAAAACGTATAAAAAGAAACGAAGAGCTTATAAACCCAATAGGACAAGTAAAGCCAAAACATGAATAAAAGAATGATGGTTGCAAAATTTATTTTTCATAAGGTTCTGGAGAAATATTTGGCTGGTGGTCTTGTTGGTCAAGCTAAAGATGGATCTACGTTACGAGTAGAACTCTATGGAAGACTTGACATGAGAGGAATAATGAACTCTGTAAAGAAATCTGACCTTGAAAAGACAAAAATTCTCCATTGCGAGGCTAATATAGAAGACTGGAAAAAACGGTCAGAACAGGTATATTCGCTATCATGTATCAATCATCCTTTTACATAGGAAGTGTTATCGTTTATCAGCAAAAATTGTGGGCTTGGCAATTAAGATATACAAAAACTACAGTGATTTGTAGTATCAGTTGTGATGACAATAAAATAAAGATAATGACGATATCTTTTTCTAAACGATTGATTAAACACATTGAAAAAATCATAACAACGCCTGCTATCTGGACAATAGACAATGTAAGTACTAACGTATCTCCAATAAATGGTCATGACAAACATACAATACACATTCATAAACAATAATTACTTATAAAAAAGGAGATGTGGTTTGATTGCCAATGAGACAACTATCCACTAGAGTTCAAATGACGACCGTAAGGTAAATAACAGTGAGAGAAAAACTAAAATCGTATAGTCTGCTATAAAGGGCATGATATGAGAAATGTGAAACAATTCAAATGAGAAAAAGAACGGCCCAATTTATACAATGCAATTGCGAAAAACAAATATGACAGACAAAAACCAACGACAACCACTTAATTACAGGCTCCTTTCATGGGACAGGCACATAAACAATGGGGCGGGTTTAAACATGCTTGTGAGCGCTAACCCTCCATATAAACCTGGGACAGTGGTGTTTCAGCAAAACATACAAACAGGGGCAGTGGAACCACAATGGAGAGCAAATAAAGGAAAAAAGGTCTAGTCCCCGTCTGGTGTTTGACAAATTTGAAGACATGGATATGGAACTAGCTTACCGATGTAGTACTTTAAGGTAGATAGCAGGTTTGTTCTATCTTTTTACTAATACTTATAAATAAAATAAGAAGAATTGGCATGCTTGCTTATGAGGCAACCATCCAACAGAGTAACAAAAACGTGGATACAACTACAGGTCAACGTAAGGCTTTAAACAATGATTTTTGGGATATGTCTCACCAAAACATGGATATTGCCAAATCTAGAAAAGGGTCTAGAATTCTAGTATGGGCAACCCATTCTGAAAATAATAGCTTTAGTTCAATGAATCTTATTTAAGATCCTTCTTTTGCCATTTTACATATTCACTGTATCTTTTATTCGAATAAGTTTTGGAGTAAAATGCAGCAAAACATGGAATGTTTGATATCTATACACCCTGGAGTATAAGCTTGTGGACTTTGTTCACAGTTAGTCTAGTTTTATTATCAATTTCCGTGAAAAGACTTATTATCCCCTTCTCTCAGTCAAACTTTTCACATTAAATCAGTTGAAATCTCATTAGTTTAATTTTCGGCTGGAAAAGTTCTCCTGTCAAATAAACCACGGGATGTTGAACAACCAAAAATGAGGATGCAATACTTATTATGCTTCGTTTATGATATCTTTTAGATCGTAAACATGCTTGGATGACATTGTGATTAAATTTAACTCGAGAGGTTAAAAAAAATATTTATATTAATTGCCTTTTCGTTATTTTTTTTCAGACTGGTACCAGAATTGATGGACTTACTGTTATATTTGATATGGAGGGTGTTGGAAGGCATATGCTATGGACCCCAGGTATACAATTCATTTGTTTTACTTTTAATTATTATGAATAAATAATATTATTGAACTAAAATTCGTCTTATTCACGGAAAGATTAGTTTTAGCCTAGGCGCTCTAAGTTTACTGAAACACTGCCGTACGTCTAATTAGATTTTCCGAATTTCTAATTCGAGTTAAAAAAAATCGTCTTGATTATAAAGTACCATTCCCTTGGGATCTTGTCACGGCAAAAATACATCAAAGTTTTCGGTCCATTATCTTTTTAGAACCTACAAGGTTCAAGAAGAAAATATTAAATGCATAATTATTCAGGACGAGAAAAATAAAGAATAAATCCAAAGGTAAGTTCTACAAAGTAGATAACACAGGGCATGTTGGGTATGAGCCTACCGTTTAGGCTTAAAGAGTTGTAAGGGTTCCTTCATGTGCAGAGCGCATTGTATTCTTCTTCCTATGCGATGTATTGGATTGGACGGGCAGGCATATTTCTTTACCTAAATTAACATTTTGGGGTTTCTGGTAAACTTATGGCCAAATTAAAACATTCTTATGTAATCAACATCTTCTTATGTTGTAGGTATACAGATGTACTTATACATGGTTAAAGTTTTAGAAGACAATTATCCAGAAATGCTCAAACGACTTCTGGTCATCAATGGTAAATGAACGATTAAATAGATTAAGTTTATCTTTCTCAGGAGACTCCAAACATTCAATACAGATGTAAATGTACCATCTGATGCACTGTATGTACCATTTACTACCAAGGATAAAATGAGTCTCTGGGTGTACGTCAATGATACAGTAACCAATAAGCACAAAGACTTTTAGGGGGTCATGGTAAATTGATTCGAACCTAGATAGGTTGTGAAAACATTTGATACATAATTACAAAGAGTTGACATCTTTATCTTATTGAGTCAGTTACAAAGATATCTATTGTAAATGGCTTTAAAATATCCAGAAGCCTTTTAAATGGTGCTTAAAATATTAGAAAGCACGAATCAATTTTATTTATACACATTTCAACAAAACGGACAATAATCAACCTTGTCATATCAACGTTTTATTTTCGTTCTGTGATTTGGAAGCTTTGATAAATTATTTCTGTTATAAATGGAATAATGTTGGTGTCTTTAATGTCAAACGCAAACTTGAATATCTTGTTTTTTCTTATCTAGTTCATTGGATAGGTATGGGGTGCACGGGTTTTCTTTAAGAATTGCACACTGTCGTAATTCTTTAGTCCTGTTCATGGTGCAAGTTATCAATTTGAAAGTATAGTGGCCGATATTTAGACAGAGTAACAATGCATGACGTCTGTATCAGCTGTACAATTCAAAAGAGCAATGTTTGACATTGGTATACTGTGTTACCAGGACCTGTGTTTTTGACGTCAGAAATACAGATAATATTGAGTTTAATGTTTATTTTTTTTTATATCTTGACTGATTCCAATATTTATGTACCATGGAAATAATGTTTGCAGCCAGATCTGAACTGATTTTGGACTTTAAAATGTATTGGAGTTGCTCTGGACTCGCGCGACCATAAGAGGTACTCTTTCTGAAAGGCTCTGGACTCGCGTAACCATAGGAGGTACTCTTTCTGAAAGGCTCTGGACTCGCATAACCATAGGAGGTACTCTTTCTGAAAGGCTCTGGACTCGCGTAAGCATAGGAGGTACTCTTTCTGAAAGGCTCTGGACTCGCACAACCATAGGAGGTACTCTTTCTGAAAGGCTCTGGACTCGCGTAAGCATAGGAGGTACTCTTTCTGAAAGGCTCTGGACTCGCACAACCATAGGAGGTACTCTTTCTGAAAGGCTCTGGACTCGCACAACCATAGGAGGTACTATTTCTAAAAGGCTCTGGACTCGCACAACCATAGGAGGTACTCTTTCTGAAAGGCTCTGGACTCGCGTAACCATAGGAGGTACTCTTTCTGAAAGGCTATGGACTCGCGCAACCATATGAGGTACTCTTTCTGAAAGGCTCTGGACTCGCGTAACCATAGGAGGTACTCTTTCTGAAAGGCTCTGGACTCGCGTAAGCATAGGAGGTACTCTTTCTGAAAGGCTCTGGACTCGCACAACCATAGGAGGTACTCTTTCTGAAAGACTCTGGACTCGCACAACCATAGGAGGTACTCTTTCTGAAAGGCTCTGGACGCGCGTAACCATAGGAGGTACTCTTTCTGAAAGGCTCCGGACTCGCGCAACCATAGGAGGTACTCTTTCTGAATGGCTCTGGACTCGCGCAACCATAGGAGGTACTCTTTTTGAAAGGCTCTGGACTCGCGCAACCATAGGAGGTACTCTTTCTGAAAGGCCCTGGACTCGCACAACCATAGGAGGTACTCTTTCTGAAAGGCTCTATCAGCAGTATTGGATGTATCCAGTAACGATATCCTCTATTTGGCATGTTAGTAGTGCTTTGTTTGATTGACTGATATTTGCTTCACGTCCATTGGCAAATTCAGAAACAATTCATGGGGGCTTTAATTTATACTGATTTGTCACGGGTTGGCCCTTTATGCTAAATATTTTACCACAAGCGAGAGCGAAGGGTAAAATATCGGCATAAAGGGCAAACCCGTGGTAAAATCAGTATAAATTCAAGCCCAAATGAATTATTTCTATTCTAATAGGACAAATACGGCAATTCTTTTGGATCGAAGCGCTCTCGGTGAACGCTCATATTTGCCGTTCCCGTAATTAAACACACTATTAATATTGACGTAAAACAACGGAAAAAACTGAACTAGTGACATGCTTAAACTATTTACAATAACGTACTTAGATAGGTTTGGATGAATTTAAATGATAATCTTACTTACATGTAAAAAATTGGCTTTTAACAAATTTTATCATCGTTTGTTTATGTTTCCTTGTTTTGATGACTTTCAGTTTCACAACCGTGCATTTTCTCGTAAAATGCTTATATTCTTACGTTATCGTTCAATTACGTCATTTACACCTATTGACGTCGGGTAAATGATTCATAAAAAAACATATGACGTGGAAGTATGATCGGAACAGCCCGAACAAATCATGACGTTGCGGATCAGGTGACATATAATATACTAGTATTCATATTTTACCACGGGTGTGTACTCAAAGCGTTTGGAGAACGTAATATTAGAATTTATCGCACCGCAGGTAAATTATCACGTTGTGATTGGTTTAACGCCGTCACGTGGTGGATCCCTATGGATCCCTAGGGGGTTAGTAAATTTCATAGAGAGTTCATGACGTCTCTACTGTTAATGGTGACGTCATCTATTAAAGTTGTTGTGTTTCAGTTTTCTACAAAACGCAGCAGAAAAGTCCCGCGTGCGATAAATTCGTTATACGGTTCACTACTGACCCCCTACGGACCATAGAGGGTGAATAAAATCCATAGGAGATTCGGCCTTCGGCCTCACCCCCTATGGATTTTACTAACCCTCTATGGATCCGTAGGGGGTCAGTAGCGAACCATATAACTTATAATGTTATGCCCGTCTAGGACCAGTGTAGTGTTTTGTGTATTGTTGCTTGTCATTACGGGTTTAGGTCATGATGGTATCGGTCTTTCTTTACCTTTTTGATTGCCACATTAACTTAAGAAATAGTTCTGTCATGACATGTTATATGCTCATTTCAACAATGGTAGGCATTACATTTGTCAATATCCATCTTGCTTATTGCTATTAAATCATATTAAGTTATGTCCGATTTGAAGACAATAGGCGACAACCTCACAGACAGTGACCGTCATTTTCATGTGTGAAAGGTATTATTAGGTGTCATGCGTTACATGTTAATGATTCGTTTAATGAAATAAGTTAATAAATTATCATACAAAACAAGTCTATTGGATATCAATAAGAACATTGATATATCTTAATTCCTTCGCATTCGGTACTTGAAATAAGCACATCTAAAATGATACTCATCATAGATACTAGGCTTAAAATGTGTACGCCAGACGCACGTTTTGTCTACAAAAGTTTTAAAAAAGTAAAAAAGGCCAAATAAAGTACAAAGTTCAGGGCATTGAGGATCCAAAATTCAGAAAGGTTTTGTCAAATACAGCTATGGGAAATCGATTCCTATGGAAAAAATCCTAGCTGTTTCGAAAAATTCAAAGTTTTGTAAACAATTAATTTATAATTATGACCTTATCAATGATAAATTATGTCAACACAGAAGTGCTGACTACTGGGCTGGTGAAAACAAGTCCACGGAATCGTTGTATTAATCGTTTTCTTCATCTTTTTTTCAATATTTAGGAACGTTGTTTTCTTCATCTTTTTTTTTCAATATTTAGGAACGTTGTTTTCTTCATCTTTTTTTTTCAATATTTAGGAACGTTGTTTTCTTCATCTTTTTTTTCAATATTTAGGAACGTTGTTTAAGATAAAGGCCTTACTTAGTCAATGACTGTTTTGCATGTAGTAAAATGCAGTTGCCAATTATATTACATATGTTGTATGGATTATATATATAAATCCATTCTTACTTCATTTTCGATTAACTTTTCACAGTATTATCATTTTCTCATTTTGAGATATATTGCTTATCACACTATCTACTATGATATAATAATGTATAAAGTAAATATAAATAAAATAATCAACTGAAAAAAAACCATACATCCAAACTGTATTTCTAACTACTTGAATATTAAGTTACACTATCAAGCATTATTTATATGCTAATATTTCAGCTCCATGGATCTTTCCTATCCTATTACTGAGCCAATCACAGTATCAAACATTGATTTTATCTTAATATTTCAGCTCCAGGGATCTTTCCTATCCTCTACAAGCTATGTAAGCCTTTGATCAGCAAAGATACTAAAAACAAAATTGAAATTATTGGCGGTATGTTTACCTTTAATATGGCTTTCTGATTTTTATTTTTATAATAAAAAAATATATATTAATCTTCTTAATACAGAAAAAACACACAATTTACATTTCCAATATGCATCTTTCAAGGTTGTGAAGCTGAGAAAGCAAGTTGATTACTTATATTGATAATGTATCTTCATAGTGCTATATTCCTGGTTTAGTCTTTATTTCTTGGAAGTTTACCTATTGTAATTAAACAGAAATGTCAATAAAGGTAATATAAGAAGATTTGATAGAAGTGAAAAGGTGCACATATACATTTTGGCAATTAACCGCTGCCGAAATGTTTATGTTTAAATGTTATTTATAATGGTGTTGAACTCTCATGTACTAGAAGATTGTTTTTTTTTAATTGAATAGAGGAAAATTACACTTTATAAGTAGGTTAATTATACATATAACAATACTATGCCGTAATACTAGCAAACTATTGATGCGAGACTTTTAGTACATGAGCATGACGAGGGGATAACCATGTGAATTTCCAGGCTTACTAGGAAAAAGACCTGCAAAAGTTTAAGTTCATGAGGAACATCAGTGTATGACTGTGAACATAAAAAAAAAAACACTTACGCAATGCTAGTATATGTGTTTTATAGGCAACTCCCAACTTAGAGGATATTACACAGGCTTGATTGTATGAACATGTACATTAGTAAACATCCACGAAGGAGAGTGTACATACAAAACGGTCAATATGAGGGAAAAACTCATGGAAATCTATATAAAAAATATCCAAGCAAGAGTGTGTATGTGAGAGAACTACAATGTATAAATGAGGCGACACTCATTCAAAGGTTTACACGAGGGAACACTCGTGATGGAGTATTCATATACATATGACAATGCTGTAGCTGTGTCAATGAGGCAACATACATGCAGTGTTTACTGTCAATGAGACAAACTCAAAAATGGAAACGCATTCTGAAATTAAGTAGCATGGAAGACTCTCTCTAAGTTATATCATTTTGGTTTCTATAACTTGATGGTACACGCATCGATTACCATGATTAGATTGTTTTGCCTAATATATATGCATCGCAAACTATATGGAAGTGAAAACCAGGCTTGGCTCTATTTTCCTGACTGAATACGTATCAAAGAAAACTATATCTAGATATTACTATTGCAGGAAATTATCAAGATACACTGAAGAAGTATATTGATGACGAGTACCTTCCTATGTGTTACGGTGGAACCTTAACTGACCTTGATGGTAACCCGAGATGTGCATCAAAGGTTAGTACCTTTCTATGTGTTACTTTTGAACCTAAACTGACCCTGATAGTGACCCGAGATGAGCATCAAGATTAGTACCTTCCCTATTTGTTGCAATGGATCCTTAACCAATCCTAATGGGATCCGATATATGCATCACTGTTAAGTACCTATCTATGTGCAACTGTGACACCTTTATTGATAATGGTTTCCTGCCAAAGGTCGTTGGTTTTCTCCTAGCACTCTGGCTTCCTCCACCAATAAAAACTGACCGCCATGAAATAGCCAATAGTGCTGAAAATAGAGTTAAACATCAATCAATCAATCAATCAACCTTTACTGATCATGACCGACATATGTATCAATTGTAATTACCTTCCTATATGTTACCGTGGACCTTGAGTTGATCCTGATCGTGACTATAAGATGTACATTAATGGTAAGTACCTTCTTACGTCTTACGATGGAACCTTATCTGATCTTGCTTGTGACCCAAGATGACCATCAATGGTAAGTAACTTCCTTTGTGTTCCAGTAGACTTTAACTGACCCTGATGGACATCCAAGATGTTATTCAATGGCAAAGTCAAAGTTCGATGTTCATAATGTATAGCTTAGAAGACTTTTTAACATTAGTATTAAGACAGAGGTTACTAGAAAAGTAGGAACCAAGTTTCCTATCAGGGCACATTTAATCACTACTGGTCGTTGTTGGTGATCAACATGGTCAATGTATATAGATAATTTAATTATCTTTTCGATTTGTTTCTTTTTATGGCTATACGTATACGGTGCCATACGGTGTTGGCTCTCCATTTAAAATTCGATCTTCGGTTTCTTCTATCATTTTTAGAAGTGCATTTCTTTCGACTATGACACTTTGTTTACTCCCGAAACAAAATTGAAAACACGGCCATATTCTCAAATGACCTTCTATTGATTTCATTTCATGGAAACTGTCAAGAGTTAATTGTATTTTTTAAAATCAAGAATGTATAAGAACCGGAAGAACTGAACTAAACTACTTACATAAAACCTATACAACTTCATGCTTAGTTTCCTTTCAACAATCATATTGACCATTATGGCGAAGTTACATAAGGTTGTTATGAAAAACAGATATTTAAGTTTTTGTACCGTCTCAAATCAAAATTGAAAAAAAACATACTGTTGATTTATTGATACAGATATGTCAAGGAGGAACAGTTCCAGAAGAATATTACACACTAAACACAGATTACATTGATCGTATGGAAACTGCTACTATTCCAAAGGGGGACAAGTTGTCAAAAGAATATATCGTTGATGTTCCAGGTAGTGCGCTCAGGTAATGGACTTGAATGCTTCTTTTCCAAAAAAGGGACAAATTGTCAAAATCATATATTGATGATGTTTAAGGTAGTGACCTCAGGTAACGACTACCGACTAGGGTAAGACTAACTGGTAAATGTTTCAATTGCCAAGCATCCAATTTTTTGCATGCTATTTATATAGTGTTGGTTATTTAGAAATGACTTGTTTAGGAAAAATGTACAATGCCCAAGTTTGATTTCGATGTGTGTTTTTTGTTTGTTTGTTATTGTCAGTCAATTGTTCTTTAACGTTTTAAATCATCATATTGTACTTTGAATATTTAGTTGACCAGACAAGCTTTACAATATAAGCATATAGTGCATCAAATAAATTGGATATCTTGAATTTATTTTTATAAAGCATGGGACCATGGAATGCAGTAAGAATAATGATAGAACTATTCATCATAATGTCGGGGTAATGATTTGTTTTCCATTTCGTCAGAAAGTTTTGCAATAGACGCTTGGTTGATGCATCCAGGTCAAGTCACTGTATAGAAAATACATATTAAACTTATTGAATTTTTAACTAGACTTAACAAAGTAAGTAAAAAATGATTAAACCAATCATTACTTATCATCGACTAGAATATTCACCAGGATGTTATTTTTATGACACACACGTCGGGTGCCGCTTTTGATTATCAGTAAAAATAGCATACATTTTTACAGATGGGAGTTTATGACACAAAATCATGACATTGAGTTTGGAGTTTTCTACAAACAAGACTGTAAGAAAGAAGCAGTCATATCCTTGTCAAAAGTCAACAGTCATACGATTACAGAAGACGGATTCATAACGTGTGACAAAACCGGTGTTTGTAAGTAATATAACAGATTTAGACATATTCCTTTATTCTTGATACTTAACTATTTTGATTCACCAAATTACTTAAGTTTAATAGTATAATATATATGTTAAATTTTCTTTAAAAAGCAATTTCATACCATGTTTTAAATTGAACTCACTAAATTTAATTATTAAATTTTTTTTTTGCGAATTGAACCTACAAAAATACAAAAAATCGTGGAAAAAATATTATAGTAGTATATATATATATAGATATTCTATCTGCTTATCCCCAAAAGAATGGAAAATTATCTATGACCACATGTATGGGTTTTGCATAGCATAAAAAATATCCCCAAAACATACCGTTACGTAACAGTGACAACATGGATATTTTTTTCCTATGGCACTATTGCAAAACGTCAGCATGCACCGGTAATCATTGCTTTTTGTGTTTCTCTGTTATGAATGTTCTTGCGTGTGTCTGTGCTGTATTTCTGTCACGTAGTGATTTAGCGAAATTTTTTAACATTGTCATAAAGCGGGAGGTATGGCATGCCATGAAACCAGGTTCAACCCACCTTTTTTTCTTAAAATGTCCTGTACCAAGTCAGAAATATGGCAGTTGTGATCAAATAGTTCGTTTCTATGTGTGTTGGCGTTTGTTTTTGTTGCATTTCGGTGCTCCTGTTGTTCTTTTGTTTTCCTCTTATAGTTGATGTGTTTCCCTCGGTTTTGGTTTGTAACCCGGATTTGTTTCTCTCAATCGATTTATGACCTTTGAACACCGGTATACTACTGTTGCCTTTATTTACTTTCACCAGACGAGTATATTATTCTTTAATTTTAATATTTGTTCAATTATTTGCAGATGAAATTGTATTTAGTAATGTCAGCTGGTTCAGTGACAAAATCATATATTATACAATTGAAGTACTAACCCCTTAGTAGATTGACATCTTCAAGGTAGGTATATTGCATTACGAAAATTTGACAAACATATATTACACTTTACTTGATTATGATATATTTTGACTTCAAATTATCAGCCTTTCAATGTTTTATATTTTCTGCAAGAAACCCTTTTTTCGTTCTAAATTCGATATTTTATATCTATTTTATCAAACTCTAATATACGTGAAAACAAAATGCTGTGTAAATGGATTTTTTTCAGTTATTTTTGGTTTTGTAAAAACTTAATACAGACGTTATAAATTCATAAAATGTCGATATTCAGTATGAATGACAATCAATTTGCAATTTGAATGTTTTATATCAAAATAAATAATGATATATTTAAAGAACGGAACATTGTAAAGCATTACTTTTTAAAACGACACTAAATATTTTAGTTTTTATATTTTAGATTTAGAAATACGTCTTACTTTTCGCCAAAGAAGAGAAATAGGAACGTACGATTACGAACTGAGTGACAAACATTTGATCAATATTATATTCTGGAAAGATTTACTGATGTATGGAGTGATATAGTGTGTTTTGCTTTGTAAATATCATAAAGACATTAAAACAATGGTTTTAATCAAAATGATTGAAAGGCATAATGTATGTATGATTATGTTCATCTGTCTATTTTTGTGTAAAATATATTAATTATGGAAAAATAATAAAGTTGGTGAATTTACTGATGTTTCATTTTGTAACACAAGATAGAACTTGTTAAACATTCATTACGTAATTTGTTTTTACACTTAGAGTTATACATCACAACAAGGTAAGGGAGGCATATACATAGAATAATTTGTTGTTTCGCATCTTTCACAATACATTATATAACTGTTCCACTACGACAAAATAAAAACAGCCTGGAGGATCGTGAACGATTTATGTCACTGAAAGTGTTTAAAATACAAAATAAATCGTCTTTACCGATGGTAGCAAAACGTATCTTTTGTCAGTCAAGTCAAGATGCGTGAATTATTCAGCAGAACGGATACTTATCGATATCCTGATAAAATCTTTCTGTCCAGAACAATGACTAAATTTCAGTTTTAGGTTCTATTTGATATAGAATTAGTAGGTGAAATACCACCAAATCATAGTACGTCACATCCGGTTTCATACGAAAAAGGGTCGAAAAAAAATATTCCCTTGAATTTGACAGTTGTAGGACATTAATCCTACATTTCATTGCAGTAAAAAAAATTCTGAGTCATAAACATATATCCTGAGTGTTTCAAAGCACCATTATTTTTTTATTTGGTGTTTCTATAGAATATTTTGGAAACTTGAGGTTACATGATTACTAAAGCTTGTACACAGGAAAAAAGGGTTAACTATTTGACTGGTTAACTTCCAGTGATGGTTATTTTCTTATATGCAATGACATGTTATGTGAAATTTTGTCTATAGTACTGGACAGGATAAAACTTTACTCATGCCAAGTATTTCTTTATTTGAAACAAAGATAAATTCTGCACAATTTTTTGAAAAGTGCAAATTTAACAAAGAGTAATAGGAGAAAATCAATGGTGGTATTACACCTATTAGGTCTATGGCCTGACTTAAAATAATGCGACAGTAGTTACCGTTGCCGAAATCTCGTAAATAAATTAAAACAGAAAAATCAAGGTAACAAACAAAAACTGGGGGAATCCCATTAACTACAAAAGGAACCAGACCAGATGCGTCGACATGGTAAACGTCTCCTGTTATGCACCGTCCTCCATGCGAATTCATGCTGAGTCTAAATGTCATAATCGGGAATAGGACACGATCGATAAAATACTGGTATCTAAAGAAATGCGATAACGAAAGGACATCATATCGGTCAACCTATTTGTGATGGTGACTGTATAACTTATATCGATTTTAGTCGTTCTTCCTCAAAACTTCTGTTCAAGCGCAGTTTTTGTATAAATAAACTGACAACGCTATGGCTAAAAAAGAAAAAGACAAACAGACAAACAATAGAACACAAAACACAAAACACAAAACACAACATAGAAAACTAAAGACTGAGCAACACGAACCCCATCCTTCGTGTTGCTCATGTTAGAACAAACCCGGTAATAAGTCTAATTCGGTAGGTCACATTCGGGGAAAAAGGGACATGATTGTAGTTACGACATTTGGAACATATCCGTAACATCTGTGAAACGAATATTCCATAACGGTCAACCAACTCGTGATGGCGTCCGTAAAATTTACGAAGGGGTGATTTCAACTTCACAACTTGGAACTCTTGGTTTAAAAGCTTCTTTATGAGTAGCAACCCTCTATCAAGGAAATCATGATTGGAAATAGAAGCCCTGGAATTAAGTGAGATATAAAAACGCCGTACAATCGAGCAAAGGGTGTGTCGCTGCTGAGAAATTGGAAGTTGACAATTTTGAAATCATCACGTTTGTCATAGATCTAGTTTGAAGTCGTCCATCGGTGTCGCAATATCGAGGAAAAGATCAAGAAATGAAACAGACTTTCAATTTCGTTAGTATGTTTAATCTCACGTTCACTAGGATATGTGAAATATGGGTTATTGAGTGACAGGACATCATCAATATATCTGAAAGTGAAACTAAACTTCACAAGATGTATTTTTTTCTTTTTTTCTTTAAGGACGTTCTGTTTGAATTCAGCTTCATATGAGTACAGAACAAGTCGTCCAGTAGTGGTTCACAATTATTACCCATAAGAATAATGAATGTCTGCTAAAATATCAACCCAACAAACTCAACAAATATGTTGTTGATAAAAAAAGTCCAGCATTTTGATGACATCATCTTCGGTGTCTTTGTTGTGTGAATAAGTCTTGTTTTTCACAATGTAAGATTTTCCATGACCTAAAACATGGAATTTGTTTCTACGTTTCCCATTTTTGTAGAAAAAGTTCAGTTTAATGAGAAGACATAGACGATCATTCGATTGGGGAATAGTAGTGTAAAGAGTAGACAATCACAGGTTTTGATATCGACATGACTGCAAAATTGTAAAGATTGTGATTAAAGATTTAGGAGTAGATCTTTAGAACTTTTAATAATCCTTATCTGATTGACACCTCTAGTTTAATATACCTCAACACAATATTTCTGATGAAAATCTCTTCCTGCAGAAAGAATAGTGGTTATAACTTTAGAAAGATGTTTGGACATCTTGACGACCCCATCTAAATATTGTTCTTTATTATGATATTTGTGTAAGGTATAATATCCAGTATAAAGATGGCAGAAATTTCTTTTTTATTTTATTTAATACCAAATGAGAAAGGACGAATATATAGACAATATGTCAAGCTCTACATCGTTCAAAGCCTATAAAATGAATTAATTAAAAACGTTTAACAAAAATACCAATACAATATACTCCAAGGTAAATTCAAACAGGCGAAGTCCATAAAAACTGACAAAATCAAACGTTATCAACCAACAAGTAGAAAACAACTCTCATATTCCTGACTTGATACAGTCATTTTCCAAAGAAAATGGTGGTTTATACCTGGATTTATAGCAAGCTAAACCTCCAACCTGTATAACGACACTCAAAAATATGTTGTAAATACAAAATTTACTAAATAATCAAACAAAAACAACAATGTGACATAAATAAACATCTGACCATGTTCCTGACTGGAGACCGACACGAAAAAACGTGACGGGTTGAAATAACTATAAGATATTAACCGTCCCCGATTTTGATCAGTGCTCTAACAAAAGCTTATACAGATTAGATCAGAAAGTATAAGATAAAGGTGAAATTTTATACGATACAATTCCGTTGTCAGTTTATCTTCGAGTTATGAGCCTGATTATCCCTTTGGTATCTCCGCCTCTTTTTTTAACACCAAGTTAGAAACTATTCAAATGCAGTAAGCAGTCTGACATTAAACTTAACAAGGTTATCCTCTTCCCCCTCCCCATTCCCAAAAAACATTCTTACCTTATTAAATATTTAGACCGAAAATTGAGATTTAAAGATAAAAGATCTGAAGTTATAAAGGTTTTCTACTCGGTGTATTTCTTGAGGGGATTGCTTTAAAACAAAACCTACAATATAGATTCATCAATGTATGGAGGATCAAAAGCGTATCATAAGCTGATATATCAAATATTATGTGAGTACTACTAGAACCACTCTACTAACTGTGATATATATATAAAAGCAATAAAACAACTTTAATTAAATAACAAAGACAGACAAACTTAGGAACAACACAAATGTTTGACAAAACATTTCCGAGAAAGATAGATTATCAATTTCTATATGAATTAAGATTCCGTCAGCTAACTTATAGCTACACAAGGTTCATTTTTCTCACTTGATCTAGTGAAGTTTTGTATATGCAACATAGTATCGGGTGATCTTTTATTTTTAGAATTTGAGGCTCTTGCAGATTTTGATCTTTTAGTTTCGGAATCTGTATTTCTCATTTCAAGTTTTCTTATTGAATCGGCATTCTCATCTATGACAGACTTACTTCTTTCTAGTCTTGATTCATCGTTTTTATATTCAACCGAACAATCTCCCTTTTCAGCAACAGGAATGTATTTACACCGTCCCGATAATACTTCTTCTGACGCTTGTGATGCATTGTGTTTGCTTTGTTCATTATTATGTTCAATTTGAGCTTCCATCGAATTGTTTTCATTGTCTTTTTGTTTAGCTTGTTCATCTTTGTCAAATTCTTTTTTATCTACTTTGCATTTGGATTTTTTGCTAGGCGTATTTTCATCGATTTTTGATACTTCACATTGATATTCTAAAGGAGTAATTTTATCTTTATTAAAGCTTTCGTTTTTTCCATTTGTTTTACTGACATTTTCCTCATTTTTGGATTGTTTACTACTTGATTGTCCAGTTTTATCAGCATGTTCGTGTAAACCCTGCTTTCCTTCAGTTTTTACATTTGGCGTATTTGATTTGGTTTCCGAATCACATTCGTTTTTACGTTTCTTTTTCTTTTTCTTTTTCTTTTTCTTTTTCACCGTGTGCTCTTCTTTTCGTTCACTATGGTCTGATAATTCTTTTTTTATTTTGGAACTTGTATTATAGTCGTTGACTTGGTTATTTCTAGTCCACCTTTAAGAAATATTTAAACTTTTAATTTTATTTTCTTGGTGTGAAACAACAAATAAAAATAGAAAACAAATATACTCTCACTGAATAATATAATAAAGCTTGTTAACATCTATCATATTGTTATCCGGGTTTGATCCATTGTAATGGGATTTTTGAGTCACAGATAACCGCAGATATGTCTCATTTGTTGCAGCCTAAAAAACTTTTTATAATTACATCACCGAATGTTACTTATTTCCGAATTATCAATTGTCACGAATGATAAAACGGGAAGTACTAGTGGAACAGGAGTTATTCCTTTCCGGAACATTGGAGTTTCCTCCAGATTTTTCATATTCCCGATTTGGAGCATGAATCTTCCGACGAATATTCCCCATGAACGTAGGTAAAACTTTGTTTTATAGCTAGTTAAACCTCCTAGATAAATGTTTTCTCATGATGGTGTAATGGAATAAATCTTTGTAAACTAGTGTTTAGTAGTTTCAGATAAAAAAAACAATTGTCGATATTCTGTTATATGAGTTAAAGGCATTGTACTTATTATCATTTTTTGTGTGAATTAAAAAATAACTAAATATGTAATTCTTTATATTTATGAACAAGTATAGG